GTACAGGCATGTGAGTTAAACATTTACCTCAAGTAGACACACGCCCTAGAGAGAACAATCATGGGAGAAGGAAGGGCTGCTTATGCACAGGGAGACGGCTCAGGATGCAGGAGAGTATGGAGGGATGGTCTCTGGGAAGAGGTAAGTATGGGGAGGAAGTGGGAGGGGAGCTGTTGCATTGTGGTAAACTGTGGTCAATGATATGAAACAAAGTATATGTGAACTGCTGTATGGAAAGTGAATTTGCTCTGTAAATCTTCACCCAAATAAAAATTAATTAATTAATTAATTTTTTTTAAAAAAAAAAGAGTAGAGTGGAGACAGTGCCTAAAAGGGCTGAGAGAGAGCTGACAAAATAGGGAGCATGATGGATAAGTAAGGGGAAAGAAAACACATTCTAGGAATTCCCTAAAATAGAGACATTTGAGTGTATGCTCACGTTAGAAAAAAGTAACTGAGGTTGCTCAGGGTAGAGGTGACGGTCCATTAAGAGAGTGGATAGGAAGTGCAGCTGGAAAAGCAAGGAGTGGGAGTGCATGAGAGGGAAGGACACATGGAAGAGGTAACTATGGGGAGGAAGTGAGAAGAGAGCTGTTACATTGTGAGGAATTACAGTTAATGTCCTGAGACAAAATGTATATGAAGTGCTACATGGAAAATGAATATGCTCTCTATAATAATAATAAAAGCCCAGTGTTCACAGAGCTAGCATCTAAATGAGGGAAGACAGAAAATAAAAAATAAATGACTAAAATATATATTAGGTCAAAAAGTAATAAGCCCTACAAAGAACCTTACAGCAGAGAGTAGAATAGGAATAAAATGGGGAGGAAACATGGTTATAAACACAGTGTGTCAGCAAGACTTCACTGAAAGGTGACATCCGAGCCAAACCTAAGTGAGCTAGGAGAAGAAACAACGCAGCTATGTGGGGAAGAGCAATCTAGACAGAGAAATACCAAAAGGCGGAGATTGTGAGGCAGTCACTAGTGTGTTCAAGAAGTACTGAAGAGAACAGTGTAGCTGGAAAAGAATGAGTAAGAGTGAAAGCAGTGGAGATGAAGTCCCACAGGCAATTAATAAGGGGCCCATGGTTGCTGGAAAATGCACCCTCCCCAAGATGTCCACATCCTAATTCCTGGAAGCGTGAATGTTATCCTATATGGTCAAAATGACTTTATAGATATGAGAAAATTAAGGATCTAGAGATGAAGAGATTATCCTGAATTATGTGAATGGGTCCTAAATGAAATCCTATGTATCCTTATAAAGAGGGAGGCAGAGGAAGACTTGACATAGACACACAGTGGATAAGGAGACGTGAAGATGGCTGCAGAGATTAGACTGATGAGGCCACAAGTCAAGGAAGGCAGCCACCAGTAAATGGAAGAAAAAAGAAATGAATTCTCCCCTAAAGTCTCAAACACTGATTTTGGACTTACTCACTTCCAGAACTGTAAGAGAATAAATTTCTATTATTTTCAGGTACCAGTTTATAACCTACTGCCATTCAGTTGACTCTAATTCATAGCAACTGCTACTGGGTTTCCAAGGCTATAAATCTTTACAGAATTAGATTGCCTCACGTTCCTCCTACAGAGCAGCTGGCGGATTTGAACTGCTGACCTTCTGGTTAACAGCCAAATGCCTTACCCACTATACCATAGGTTATAGCAGTCACAGGGAGGTAATGCAAGACCATATGGTGCCTGACTTATTGGCAGAGAAGGTAGTCAAGAGGTAATCACAAAATTACAGGAAAAAGTTAGTGAAATTCAATAGTAGGACAATCAGATAAGAGAACATATGAGGCATCAAGTTGCTAAATAGATGAAATTTGCTTTCAGATGGAATGGAGATAGTGGGAAAGCAAGGTATCAACAATGATGTCAATATTTCTAGCTTAGGAAATTGGGTAGACATATTATTAACAAAAGAAGCTCTGCTGCCGTAATGGGTAAGGCATTTGGCTATTAACCAGAAGATCAGCAGTTCAAACTCACCAGCTGCTCTGCAGGAAGATGGTGAAGCAAGCTACTTCCATAAAGATTTACAGTCCTGGGAACCCAATGGGGACTGCTAGAAGTCAGAATGGATTCAGTGGTCATGGGTTTTATTATTACCAAAGTTAGTAAATTGAACCAGGAATAGATACAGAAATTCTAGTGATTATTGCTAGCTGAGGAGTGAAAGAAACTAACATTTATTAAGCACCTACTAAGAGGGAAATGGGAGCTCTTGTAGTGTAGTGCCTAAGGCATTTGACTGCTAACCAGAGGGCTGGCAGTTCAAACCCACCAGCCACTCCTTGGAAGGAAGGTTGGGCAATCTACTTCCATAGTGATACTATGGAAGTAGTATCACTACTATGGATACTAGTGATACTGCCTCAGAAACCGAAGGAGGGGTCGCTATGAGTCAGGTATGACTCGAGGGCAAATAACAACAACAACAAGAGGGAAAGTCTTTGCATCATACATTTTCTTTTCTTTTTCCTAATATAGTAATATTTTTTAAAAAAATGCACATAAAACAACATTTGCCAATTCAACACTTTTCAGGTATACAATTTAGGGATGTCAATTATACTAATCATGTCATACAACCATCAACCGTAACTGTTGCCAAATTTCTAATCACCATAAACAGGAACTCACTATTTCCCAAACAATGGCTCCCCTTTCCCTCTACCCCTGGGAAACACAAATAAACTTTGGTCTCTTTATATATGCCAATTCATTTCCTGTAAGTAAAATCATTCAATATTAATTCTTTTGTGATTGACTTATTTTACTCAGTATAATTTGAGCTATTAGTTTTTAAAAAATCATTAAAAAATGGCTCAAATTATACATTTTCATTTTTAATCATTAAAACCTCCTTATGAGATAGATGGCATTGTTCTCATTTAACAATGGGATCAAAAAAAACCTGAGACTCCGAGTCAGGAAGGGATAGCCCTTGATCTTTCTAACATATCACACTACAATGAAAATACAATTAGAAACAGAGAATCAATCAGAAAAAGAGAAGTCACCAGCTGAAGATAAAAACGTAGACATTAAGTTAGAGGTAAACTTGAACCTGTAAAAATACAAGAGAATGCTCAATAAAGGAGACAGCTGGAATGAAGCAGAATACCAGGGACTCTTCTAGAGCAAAAGGTTCTGTTCTATGACATCAGTCATGAAGAGTTGGAGACAATGATAAAATCACTAAAACATTAAAACACATACATAGGGCAATGCATGTTGCTGTAGATGCTGCTGTTATGTGCCATCACGTCAGACTCGACTCATAGCAACCCTTCCTTGCATTTCTGAGGTGGTAGCACTATGGAAGTAGACTGTGCAACCTTCCTTCTGAGGAGTGGCTGGTGGGTTTGAACCTCCAGCCTTCTGGTTAGCAGTCAAGTGCCTTAGGCACTACGCTAGCAGAGCTCCTGGGGCAAAGCAAAGGATAAGGGATAAAAATATCAGATTCAAAAATGGTTTTTTAAGTTAAAAAAAAATAAATTATAGAGTAATAGTATGTCAACAATAGAATACACAATGGAGAAAAAAAATCCCAGACTTACCGTTGGGTCCTGTGTCTCTCTGAGTTTGTGTGTAAATGACAGCAATTTGTCCAAAGCTTCCTGGGGTATATTTGGGACCTATTTTATAAGGGAATTCAGGAAAAGCAAAGGAATAAATCAGAGTATCTGACCAATCCATCAGAATTTAGGGCTACTAAGTAAACAATATTAGAAATTCCTAGAATACACGTTATACATTTAACTCATGGATAAAGTTGCTTATTCAACTTTCAGGAAACACTTAAGCCACTGCTTTCTCTTTCTCTCTTTTTTAAAAAATTTTTGGTGAAAGTTTATAGAGCAAATTAGGTTCTCATCTTACAATGTCTATAAAATTGGTCAGTGACATTGGTTACATTTCTCACAATGTGTCAATATTGCCTTTATTTCTGTTCTAGTTGTTCTGTTTCCAGGGCTCAAGGTTTCCTGCCTCTCCTACTTTCTTATCATGGCTTTAAATTAAATATTGACCATTTGATCCTATACTTTTTTAAAGGAGCACAGTAGTCATGGGTCATATTCTTTATTTTATAAGCCAATTTATTATTTCTGAAAGGTGACCTTTGGGAGTAATTTCAGTTCAAAGTTAAAAGATAACTCAGGATGATTGTTGGGGGAGGTCCTCTAGTGGTAAACAGTCCAATTAAGTCTGGACATTTAAGAATTTGAGTTCTGCTCTACATTTTTCTCTCATTCTATCAGGATCCAATTATTGTGGCCATGATCAGAATAGTCAATAGTGAGAGCTGAGCATCTTCTAGCTCTTCTGGTCTGAGGTAGATGAGATTGTGGTTAGTGTAGACTATTAGTCCTATAGACTAGTTTATTCTCTGAGTTCTTTGTCTTTTGTTTCCTTCTTTTTTCTTTTTTCCAGAAGAGTAGAGACCAATAGCTGTGTATTAGATGGCCACTCACAAGCTTTTAATATCCCTGAAACTACTCATCAAACTAGGATGTAGAACACAGACGTTATAATATAGTTCTATATTATGCCAAGTAACCAAGTTGTCCCATGAGACTATGGTCCTAAGCCTTCACACCTAGTAAACTACTCTCACAAAGTATATGGTTATGTCTGAGAAGTATCAATGCCTATGTGCTCTTATATATTTATTTAAATATAAATATAAATGCACGTACACAAATGCATGTGTACACAAATGCACATAGATAGAACTATATATGCACACATATACACAAACATATATCTTCCTATACACATATATACATATATACCTACATATGTAACGCACATATATTTTTTTGCTTTTTCATTAAGAATCAGGAAATTTAAACCAAGCTACTCTTCTCCATGTATAACTCCATTATCAGGATAAAACAGAAGAAGGTCTTTAACTCAATTAAATACTGGAATGTAATGTACCCATAAAAAAATTCTTCATGAATTTAAAATGCCAATTTTGGCATGTAATTATTAAATCCAAACTCCTTTATTTTATCTACCATAGAAATCTTACCTATATATGTCCACTAAGTAACATAATGTACCCTTGTAGGAAGAACAGATATTCAACGTGTCCTTTTCACAGACTTTTAAAAAAACTTACTCGAGTGTCCTGATCAACACATCAATGAGCTTTGAAGAACAGCTGACCAAATGGCACACTTTGGTTGTTTTTAACTATAACAAATCTTAATGTAATTAAATCTTTAGTTTAATTAAACTACAAGAAAATTTACTGTAACAAGTTAAAATTTTTAATTAAAAAAGATCAGAACAATGTCTGACGATGTGATCACTTCAAAATACACTGCTCAGGGCTTCTTTGGACATTGAAGTGAATGGAATTTTTTTTTCCCTAATTCTAAGCCCTATTTAGTACATATATTATCTCAGTTATTATTTAAATCAATCCGGTGATATAAGAAGTATTAGTATCATCACCGTTTTCAGATGAAGAAACTAGGGTTAAATCTTTTATCCAAGATAAAGAAGTTAATAACTAGTGGATTTGGCATTTAGTGCCAAGTTAATTTTACTCTAAAACCTATAGATATGTCCTTGTCCACAACCAAGTTCATAATAAGACCTAAAATTAACCAGTTTATTCAGGCATTTCTAAGGGTTAACAATACAGTTATGTAAATAGTTAATGATTAGTGATCCAGAACAGCAGAGTCCAGCAGAATTTTCTGTGATGATGGTAATATTCTATTCTATACTGTCCATTACAGTAGTCACAGCTCCCATGTGACTACTGAGCACTTGAAATGTGCCTGAGAAACTAAATTTTTAGTTTTATTTAATGTGGCCAGTGGCTACTGCATTGAGTAGCACAGATCCAGAACTCTAAAAATGCCAAACAATGTGTGGATAAGGCACTGTAATAATAAATTACACTAAAATAATAAATTACATTATCACTACAAGCCAGCACAAAACTAATCTGGTAAATATAGGATATATTATAGTCCAGTGGGGGTCAGGACTACTTAGTGTTGTTGTTTTTGTTGTTGTTGTTTGCCATCGAGTCGGACCCGACTCACAGCAACCCCTCCATGGGTTTCCGAGACAGTATCACTACGGAAATAGATTGCCCCATCTTCCTTCCGAGGAGTGGCTGGTGGGTTTGAACCGCCAGCCTTCTGGTTAGCAGTCAAGTGCCTTAGGCACTATGCTACCAGAGTACTTCCTACAAAATCTAAGGCTTTAAAATATATCTGATCCCATTTTACAGCAGAAACTTTTAATAGTCACTATAGCTGAATATAAAACGAAAAGATATTCTACAACTACCTGCACTTGAGTAAAGAGGAGGGAAGGCCTATATCAGAGGTTCTCCAAATATGGTCTCGCGCCAACAGCATCACCTGAGAACTTGTTAGAAATGCAAACACTCATAACCCAGAGACCTAATGACTCAAAAACTGTGAAGAGAGGGCCCAGCAATCTGTGTTTTACCAAGTTCTCCAGATGATTCTAAAAACAGATTAAGTTTGAGAACCATTGGCTTACCCCATTATCTAAAGAAACTGAGAAATAATAGCAAAGAAAATCCAGAAATTTCCAACTTTGCACCAGTATATGTCAGAGCACCTTAAAAAGAAAATAGCTTAAGAAGACAGGCTGGAGCTGGTCTCATTCTTACCATTTCTTTAATCACTTGGATTTCTTCACTTTTGACCAGTGGTTTCATGTAATGGAAAAAGAACATGGTTAAGAATTCTGGACCCAACCATTGCTGTGTAGTGCTTCCAATAACAGGGGGCTCTGCTAAAGCAATGATTCTGAAGGAGGGATGGATAGGAAAAATGGATCTGTAAGAGAAAAAAAATCAGAAAAAAATTATCTTTCACATAAGAAATTAAGTAATGGTAGCTAAAACCTAGGTGATAAGTGGTATTACCATGCTCTTAATATAGTCAAAGCTATTTTCCAAAGAATGAGATTTGAAAAAATAGAATATTCTCAGACCTAAGATGAAAACAAAACAAAAAGGATCACCAACTGTTATATATGTCATAGTATATTCACTGATGAAACTGCATCATTACCACAAATAACTATTTATTTAGTATGTTGCTGTACCTACTATACATTTTGTCCATAGTTCCTTGAAACAAATTTCCATCCAGTTCAGATTCACTACATGGATTCCCTTTCTTTATTCAAAAATGCTCTCAAAATCTCCTGTTTTACAAGGAACTCACTCTACTTTGATAATAGAAACACCAGAAGTATGATTCAGGATGTGGAGACTTTTTATGATAAATAACAATTGAGTAGCATAAGGATGTAGATTAATTTTAATATGTAGATTGGTGATAAAAATACTTAGTCTTAAAAAGGTAGAGAAAATTGTACTTTTATCTAATTAACTCTTCTGTCATTTTTACCTGAAATCTTATAATTTTCAAATCATCTCTGAGAAATTTCTGCTAAGGAAGCGTGCAAATATTCTAGGACACAGACAAGAATAAGGCAAGACTTCCTACAGTTCGGGATATGATTTGTTTCTGGAGGAAGGATTAGAAACCCCGTAGTTCCTAATTTAGTCCTATGGGTAATATCATCAGTTTTTATCACTTCTACTCAAATACCCAGTTGAAATATGCTTGCAGAAGGTAAGAGAGTCCTTGATAAGACAAGAGGGGCAAAACTTCAAACATCTACCAAGATCTTCAGAAAGATAAATACACATGTAAATAACAGAATAGCTGCCAAATAACACATCCTGATTGGTTTTAAGTATCACAAATCTTAATTTAATTAAATATTTAATTTAACTAGAACAAATATTAATGTAAACTACAATAAACTTAAAATTTTAATTTAAAAAGATGAGAAATGGACTATCCACTACCATTAACTATTACGTGATTTGGCAGATAGAGTATCAGAAGGCAGAACATGTGTAAAGGGAATCAGTCAAATACCCTGAAGATGTGAGATAAGAAAAAAGTCCTATAAGGACAACAGGTAAGTCCAAGTAGTCCCTGAATACATGGCCTGTCATTTTAGAGGCCATATCATAACTTATTGTTGTGTTGTTGTTAGGAGCCATTGAGTTGGCTCTGATTCAGAGACCCTATGTATAATAGAACAAAATCATAATTTATAGGGTGGGGAAAGCACTTTTTAGAAATGGTCATACAAAAGGCCTGAAATAGTTGGCCAAAACCAAAACCAAATCAAATCCATTGCCATCAAGTCAATTTCAACTAATAGCAATTCCCATTGTGCTTCTGAGGGGGTAAATTGTTATGGAAGAGATTGCCCCATCTTCCTCCCACAGAGCAGTTGTTGGGTTTGAACTGCCAATCTTCTGCTCAGCAGTCAAATGCCTTAGGCACAACACCACCAGAGCTCCTTGAGTTGGCCAAAGCTACCAGATATCATTTAATTTCTCTAGGTAGAAAAAAAGAGACTTATTTACAAATATCCAAGCAGGCCATCCACCACCTGTCTGTCAGTTTGTCATACTGTAGTGGCTTACATGTTGCTGTAATACTGGAAGCTATGCACTGGTATTTCAAATACCAGCAAGGTCACCCATGGTGGACAGGTTTCAGCAGAGCTTCTAGACTAGCACAGTAGGAAGAAGGATTGGGCTATCCAATTTTTTAAAAAATTGGCCACTGAAAATATGAATAGCAATGAAACATTGACTTATATAGTGCTGGAAGATGAACTTCTCAGGTTGGAAGGCACTGAAAATAAAACTAGAAAAAAGCTGCCTCCTCAAAATATATTTAAAAAAAAAAAACTCACTGCTATTGAGTCGATTCTGACTCATAGCAACCCCCACTGGGTTTCTGAGGCTGTAAATCTTTAGGGAAGTATATTGCCCCTTTTTCCTTCCATGGAGCAGCTAGTAGGTTTGAACCACTGACCTTCTGGCTAGAAGCCAAATGCTTTATCCACTATGCTACCAGAGCTCCTTTCTTTGAAGTAAGGTCAACCTTAATGACATGGATGGAGTAAAGCATTTGAGACTTTCATTTGCTGAAGGGGCACGACTCAAAATGAGAAGAAACAACTACAAATATTCATTAATAATTGGCATATGGAATGTATGAAGTATGAATCTAGGAAAACTGGTAGTTGTCAAAAATGAAAGGGAGCACATAAAGATTGATATCCTAGACATCAGTGAGCTAAAATGGACAAGTATTGGCCACTGTGAACCAGACAATCATATGGTCTACTATGCTGGGAATGACAAATTAAAGAGGAATGGTGTCCCATTCAAGGAGCTCTGGTAGCACAGTACCTAAGGCATCTGACTGCTAACCAGTAGGTTGGTGGTTTAAACCCACCAGTCACTCTGTGGAAACAAGACTGGGCAATCTACTTCCATAAAGATTTATCACCTCAGAAACCCAATGGGGGTCGCTATAAGTTGGAATTGACTTGACGGAAGTGGGTTTGGTTTTTTTGAGTTGGTGTCCCATTCACTGCCATAAGGAACATTTCAAGATCTATCCCAAAGTACAATGCCATCAGTAATGGGATAACATCTATATGCCTACAAGGAAGACTAGTCAGTACTATTATTACTCAAATCTATGTACCAACCACTAAAGCCAGAGATGAAGAAACTGAAGATTTTTACAAATTTCTTCAGTCTGAAATTGACCAAACATGCAATTGAGATGTATTGACAATTACTGGTGATTGGTGTTTGAAAGCTAGAAACAAAGCAGTACTGTCATTAGTTGGAAAAAAGGCCTTGGTAAAAGAAATGACACTGGGATCGCATGACAGAATTTTGCAAGACCACTGACTTATTTGTTTCAAATATCTTTTTCAAAAACATAAACAGCAACTGTACACATGGACCTTAACTGATGGAATACAAAGGAATCCAATCAACTACATCTGTGGAAAGAGGCAATAGAGAAGCTCAATAACATCAGACAGTACAAGACTAGGAGATGATTGTGGAACAGATCATCAATTGCTCATATGCTAGCTTAAGTGGAAGCTGAAGAAATTTAAACAAGTCCACGAGAACCAAAATATGACCTTGAGTATACTCCATCTGAATTTAGAGACCATTTGAAGCACAGATCTGATGCACTGAAGACTAATGAATGAAGACCAGACGAGTTGAGGGATGACTTTAAGAACATCATACATGAAGAAGGCAAAAGGTCATTAAAAAGACAGGAAAGGAAGAAAAGGCCAAAATGGATGTCAGATGAGTCTGCGAAACTCATTCTTGAATGGACAGTAGCTAAAGGGAATGCAAGAAATTATGAAATAAAAGAGCTGAATAGAAGATTTCTATGGGCAGCTTGAGAAGAGAAAGTAAAAGACTATAATGAAATGTGCAAAGACTTAGAAGTAGAAAACCAAAAGGGAAAAACCTCTCACCATTTCTCTAACTGAAAGAACTAAAGAAAATATTCAAGCCTTGAGTTGCTATACTGAAGGATTCTACAGACAAAATACTGAACAATTCAGGAAGCATCATGTGAAGATGGAAGGAATAAACAGAGTCATTGTAAAAAAAAAAAAAAAAGAAAAGAAAACAATTGGTCAAGAGTCAACCATTTTAGGAGGTTGCATATAATCAATAACAAATGGTATTGAAGGAAGAAGTCCTTTGATGCCACACTGAAGAAACTGGTGAAAACAAGGCTCCAGGAATTGATTGAATACCCATTGACATATTTCAACAAACAGATGCAGTGCTGAAGGTGCTTACTTGTTTATGCCAAGAAGTTTGGAAGACAGCTACCTGGCCAACCGACCTGGAAGACATACATATTTGTGCCCATCCCAAACAAAGGTGATCCAACAGAATGTGGAAATTATGGAACAATATCATTAATATCTTTCATTATAGTAATTGGCTTTGTCTACTCGAGCTGCTCTTTGAAATCTTCTGTTCAGCCCTTTTACCTTTTCATTTCTTCCAT